GGAAAAAAAATCATCTTTATTGTTATGTAGTGACAAAATAAATAAAACATCTAATCAAAGACAAGCTCAACTGTATAAAAATATATAAAACTGATACAAGACGGACACACAGTGGGACAAAGCAGTATAGTATAATATACTGTATATATATATAACAATATCTTCTGCTGTAATTGGTCATAAAATGTGATCTGATCTTCATCTAAGTAACAAGTACAAACAACTGAGCTAACAACATACAAGCAATTATAATATTTCATGTTTTTAGTGAACACACAATAAACATTCACAGTGCTGGTGGAAAAAGTGTTTAATAAATGGTTAAACGTCTTTTGGAAGCAGTAAGTTCAAACAACTGTTTCCATGAGCTGTGGATCAAACCTGCACAATGTTGAGGAGGAATTTTGGGCCAGTCTTCTTATAGAACTGCTTTTGCTCAGGATGTCTGGTATGAACAACTCTGAGGTCATTCCACAGCATCTCTGTTGGGTTAGGGTCTGGGCTCTGAAACTATTCTGCAGTAGATGTTCTTCAAAGCTTAGAGTAATTTTCTTGCTGCATCACACCATTTTTACTGAGCTTCAGCTGGTGAACAGCCACTCTGATTATTTTCCTATGAACTGATGAATATCTGAACGCTTTGAGACTACTTTGTAACTTATTGGTTATAAGTGAATTCCAAACTCAAAATGTCAATCAATCAAACAAGTCAAATATGGTTTCAGTGATTGGATTGAACACAGCTCAAACAAGCCTTTCTCCAAGGTTACAGCTGATGGGAACAAATATGTTTACAAAACAGGACAATGGACCATTTTGGCATTGTCGACAGCTTATCAGTTTTAAATATCTCAAGGAATAATGGAAAAAGAAGCAGTGAGTTGCTACTATACTCTCATGTTGCTCTTGTCCTTCTTACGTTTTTATTTTGAAGCCAATTTGGCTGTGTTGAATAAATGTAGCTCAAATTTTCCAAATGATATTTAAAAAAAAAAAAAATTAAAGCTGAGGTCTCACTTCCTTAAATTGGCCTAAAACGGCAAAAAAATCCATCCATAGCCTTACCTCTGGACAAACTTTCTCCCATTAAAATGCTATTTTTGATGCCGTATGTATCCTATATATAAAGTAATGCACTGCACTCTGTTCCAATTGCATTTTGAAGTACTTGGTCCCAACATGTAATTCTGATAGTCATTCAGCAGATGGTGACATGATTTCATTTTCGAAGCCTGCAGCCAAAACGAAACCAAAATGCACATTTTCCACTGTTTTTTGCAAGGGTGACTTGCTAATAATGAATGGATTTGATAAAATGTGTATCTGTTTTGAAGTTATATTGATCTAGTGTACTCCTCTGTGTGTGTGTGTGTGTGTGTGTGTGTGTGTGTGCGAAGCTGTTTTAACGGCATAAAATGAACCAAATAGGTCTGTGTGTGTCCAAATTCATAACACTTTTCTCTTAGAAGGTCACACTCTTTGTTTTATGCACCAATTCATGATAATTGAGTCATAACATGGCCGCTGATGCAGGATCGTCTCTGCTCGACCACGCTCGGCTGGGCTTGAAACATGAGCGGAGTGGGTGCTCCTAAGCATGAAAGCGATAAAGTGTGTATCATTATTGATGTAATATGTAGGAAGTCTATGCCTGGCTGCGGGTTTCTGAATTTACACGTGTGTTCACGCGTAGGAGCACCCACTCCGCTCATGTTTCAACCCATACAGTGTGCAGCGAGCCAAATCAGACAAATCTGCCATCACCTAATTATATCCTGATGGTCAATTAAGTTGGAATGATGCAGTGTGCTGTTAAGTGTCAGCGAAGCTGTAAATACGGGTCCCAGAGAGAACCAAGAAACAGAAGAAACAGAGGAGGCAGAGAAAACGGCAGAAGAGGCTGGAGGAGAGAAATTATTATTAAAATGCTATGGCAGAATGTTCAGAAAATTAAGCTTTAATAAGTTTTTTATTTAAAATTGAGGTCTCGCTTCCTTAAATTGGCCTAAAATGGCTAAGAATAAAAGTTCCATCCAAATCCCTAGCTCTGAACAAATTATGTCCCATTAAAACCCATTAAAATGCTATTTTTGATGCCATATTTATTTTATATATAAAGCAATGCAGTGTTCCTGATGCATTTTGAAGGACTTGGTCCCAACTTGTAATTCTGATAGTTGTCCATCAGATGGTGACATGATTCCATTTTCGAAGCCCGCAGCCAAAACGAAAGCAAAACGCACGTTTTCCACTGTTTTTTGCAAGGGTGACTTGCTAATAATGAATGGATTTGATAAAATGTGTATCTGTTTTGAAGTTATATTGATCCAGTGTACTCCTCTGTGTGTGTGTGTGTGTGTGTGTGTGTGTGTGCGTGCGAATTTATGTGCGTGTTCGCATACGCGAAGCTGTTCTAATGGCGTAAAATGAACCAAATAGGTCTCTGTGTGTCCAAATTCATAACACTTTTCTCTTAGAAGGTCACACTCTTTGTTTTATGCACTAATTCATGATAATTGAGTCATAACATGGCTCCCAGAGCCTTGGATTGATTTGATTTATTCTTTCAAACATGTAACAACAGTCAATATGTCAACACACATAATTCCACACATATCCACAAATATATTATCAATTTGCTTATACCTAGTACATGCTTGAATGGAGTAGGAAGAAGTTAGACTTATCTAGTCCTACCCCATAACATCATCTTATCATCATTGGTTTGCAAGCAGTATTACTACATAGATAATTTTGTTCTACACCACGCTAGTGATATTGTTAAAAGAAAGTTAAATAGAGTGGCTGTGGATGAATAAAGTGTGTATAATAGAAGACAGTGTTTATCTGAGACACATGAGCGATGATATTGCCTGCTAACATTTTTGGCATCAGCACAATGAAAGATGAATTTCCAAGAAACACATGCACACTTTATTTACACTTACCTGTGAGGGCAGCAGGCTCTGAGCATTCTGAACCACATGTTCCTGCGCTGTGACAGCTAGCTGGATGTGGGAGAGGCCATTTAGCAGGAAACGCTGTTTCTTGTCTCTATCAGTTGCATGCTTGGCTAAAGTTCTGTTGATGAATAATGTGGGACAAGGTTGATCAAGACAGAGAACACAGTATGCTCACGTGCCCTAGACAGCAAATGAGCCTGGGTCAGAGTATGTGAGAACACACTGTGTGTTTGTCTGGTGCAGGTGTTATAGTATGTAGTATGAAAACATTCTTAGGTTTAACCTTTATGTGTCAGATTTAAACCTGTCAACAGGAATCCAAGCAGATTAAAATAGTATTTGCAAATGGAGCATAATGTAGTATGGTGTTAACTACTGCATAGTTCATGTTCAGTTAGAATTAATTCCTGACTGACTAACCTCAGAGCATGTGCATATTCTGCATGTGCCTCTGCTGCCTGTTCTTTGTAGCTGAGATTAGTGAAACCACTGGCACACTCTCTGAGTGTATCACAGGCAGCCATTAGCCTCTGGACAAACTCAGTGCAGAGTGTTTCTCTAGGTTCCTCATCACAGGTGGCACATATACATTCCATGGCACCTCTGAAACACAGCAAAACTTAGTGCATTAGATCACACTGTACACAGAATACATGACTGCCCACTGAAGTCCCAAATTATCTGTATGTGACTGTTTAACTTTTAAAATAAGATTTAATGGATGTTTCAAATGTATACATGTATACAACACTTACATACTGAAAGCAGGTTCCATTTGTTGAAGCTAATGTTTTATCCAGTTGAGATTTATTTGAGTAAAATATCTGTTTAAGTCTATTCGTGGTACATTAAAAGACATAACTGGGATATTTACTGAGCCAGTTACAAATTACCGACAGAGCAAAGAATTTAGCATCAACACATTTTTTTCAGTTTAGCAGTAATTACATGACTATAGAGCCTCACCCTCAATGTGTGTCCTATAAAACTGTGCTACTCATTTTACGCCTGGTCTTAAATTTCAAATGCCATATTGTCTACCACTGTGGTCAATCTGCAGTAATAAATAAGGTGCACTGACTACATGAATGATTTTCCACTCCCATATTTTGTGCCGCTGAACAGGAATGTCTTAAAATACTGTATGGTGTTCAGTGGAACAGTTTTTCCTCCATTTTACTGGTGTAAAACCTCAGTGCAGTTGTTTACTAAATAAGAACAAATGCAATTTGACTGTTTAGTGCCTAAAAAAGGGTTGCAAACTCTTTTTAATCAGTCACCATAATCATCTACTATTATCAAGTACTGGGCGTCAAGGGAAGTTGATGCATATAGATAAGACACTGGAATCACTGAAATATGTATACGAAAGTTTATTACAAATCCAGCCGGGACTTGTATGTCCCATTTAAAACATGCTTAGTCACGTTGTTTCAAGAAGTTGTTTACAGGCTAAAATCTCAAAATTGTGTCAATATTTATTGGTGATTATTTTACCCAAACTGGATAGTGCAGATATAAAATCTTAAATTAAAAAATACATTTAAAAATCTTAAAGACATTTCAGCAGTAAATTCAGCTCAACCAGAAAAACAAAGAAACAAAAAAAAACAACAACAAAAAACAACGCACATTTAGCAGGTTTGACCACAGAGGTGTGGGTTTACCTCATCTCTATTGAGATGATCAAGAATGTGAGCTCTGGAACTCTGTTTACATGCTTCTCCAGAACTATTTGCAGAGCCCGACAGCCTTGCTTTATAATTTGATTAGTCTGTGAAAGAAAAAAAAAGACATGGTGGGATAAGTGTTCACTACAAAAACAAGGTAATCTTGGTTAGAAGGTGATGATTCCATACTGTACCTTGATATTTGCACCTTGGTGTCTCTGGCCTACAACAGCCCTGACTTTGGTGAGGGTGAGCTGGTACCAGAAGTCTTCATTCCCACCCAGGGCTTGAGCTTTATCCAGCAGGATCAGAGCGTGGGCACAATTCTGCTCTTCATAAGCCAGAGACTGAGCAAACTTCTTGCCACGGCTTTCTGGTCTCCAAGTTCCTTAACAGAGAGAATGTAAAAAAAAAAAAAAAACACCCACACACACAATCATGATAGAGGAAAGTTTCCAAGAAATTTGTAAAAGAAAGTGTTATCAAAATATTAGTCAGCAATTGAGTTGTGTAAAATGGTTCAGTCTGGTATGCCAAAATAATAATAAATAGGTTTTTAATTCAGTGTAAGCAATAATGAATCAGATTCTATTTTAGTTTTAGAGTCTGACACTGTGATTTTCCTCTCTTTCAACTCACCATAGCCACTGCGTGGGTCCCTATCAGGAGCTCCCTGGCTGCTTGATAAAGCCCCATACTGATGCAAACTTCAGCTTTGTCCAGCCACACATCCATACTTTGTCGCCCAGCCTTTTCATCCATCTCTGCTTTCTGAAAAATCACCAATATATAGGTAAATTCACTTTTTTCCTAAACTGACTCAATTTTAAACCTGCCAGATGTTAACAAGCTGGATGCACACAAGACATTTTGTATGCACACACCATCAAACAGAAAACTGTGAGCAGTAGTGCAAATACACATGCCAAACACCGCCATGTGAAGAAATGGGTGCAACAAAAACAATGGTATGTTCCCTGCGAGGATCTTTGTGTGGAGAAGTTCTGAAGATTTCAAAATGAAATTCACACCCTTAACAGGCTACAGTATATGAAGTAGAACAAGTAAGGGTATAACCATTAAGAATCATTGTCATTATCTGACATAACTGACTTACAATAAGAATCAATATTCATTCCATGTTCAACTAAAAGTAATAATTGAAACACAGTAAATTTCTTTCACCAACATATAGTTAGTCACTTGTGAGCACTTGCCAGTAATCCTTTAAGAAGCAATAAAGATAAAGCTAATTCATTTAATTTCTTTACCTTGTATATCCTTCTGAATGTGTGGCATATGATGCAAAATAAAAACAAACTTATTATGTTACAGGCAGCCTGACCTGAAAGTTACCTCTCTTCTCCTGTGAAAAAGCAATGTACTTGTGGTACCTGAAATCAAGAATATCATATCACAGGTCATTAAAGCAATACATACAAACATGAAATGTTTATAAATGAGCTGATATACCACATCTGTTCTTGCTCTTGGATTCTACTCAGATTCTCAGATGTCAGGAGTTCCTCCTGATATGGTGAATGTGTCTCCAAACCCAGCTGACAACAGGTCCTCACAATTATAATTAGGTAAAAATGAGCAAGAAGAAATGTATAAAATAACTACATAAAACTGAATTATTGAGTATTAATACAATGTCTGAAATTATATAATAGTGCCACAAGTTGATGCTCATCTGTGCCCCAGTTTTCTGTGATTCTGTAACTTTTCACTGGTTAAATCAACCAGCCTTTTGTGACTGTCCCCACAAAATACTAAAAGCATATACTACCAACCCCTTCCTTGAACCGACACCTTAACGTGGTGGAGGGGTTTGAGTGCTGAATGATCCCAGGAGCTATGTTGTCGGGGACTATATGTCCCTGGTAGGGTCTCTCATGACAAACAGGTCCTGGGTGACTGACCAGACAAAGGGCGGTTCATAGGCCTCTTATGACGATAAAAAAAATCAAGGCTCATGTTTACCCTGACTGGTATGGGGTCACTGGGGCCCCACACTGGAGACAGGCGTGGGGGAGGGACTCGCAAGGGGCCGGTGCATTGTGTTTTAGGCAGTGGCCGGGGCCAAGTGCCCGGCCAACCCAAACCTCGGACGCCAACTCTGGTTTTTGAGACTTGAAATGTCACCTCACTGGTGGGGAAGGAGGCTGAGCTGGTGCAAGAGGTTGACAGATACCGTCTAGATATAGTCGCCTGTTGCAGCGGCAATCCCCAAACATGGTGGTGGACACTGCAAGTAAGGGATGCCATCAAGCTGAAGAAGGAACTCTATGAGGCCTGGTTGGCTCATGGGACTCCTGAAGCAGCTGGCAGGTACTGACAGACCAAGCAGGACACAGCTCTGGCAGTCACCATGGCATGGGAGGAGTTTGGCGAGGCCATGGAGGAAGACTTTTGGTTGGATTTTGGAGAACTGTCCAGCAGCTCAGGAGGGGGAAGCAGTGTTCTGCCAACACTGTTTACAGTGGAGGTGGTGTGCTGCTGACCTTAACTGAGGATGTCGTCAGCTGGTGGAAGCAGTACTTTGAAGATCTCCTCAATCCCTCCGTAAAGGAAGCCAGGGCTGGGGACTCAGGAGGGGACTTGTCTATTACCCTGGCTGAAGTTGCTGGGGTAGTTAAGGAACTCCTTGGAGGCAAGGCTCCGGGGGTGGATGAGGTCCGCCCCAAGTTTCTCAAGTCTATGGATGTTGTGGGGCTGTCTTGGCTGACACGCCTCTGCAGCATTGCATGGAGTTTTGGGACGGTGCCTCTGGACTGGCAGACAGGTGTGGTGTTCCCCCTTTTTAAGAAGAGGGACCGGAGAGTGTATTCCAACTACAGGGGATCACACTTCTTAGCCTAGGCCAGGGTACTGGAGAGGAGAATCCGGCCAATAGTCAAACCTTGGATTCAGGAGGAACAGCGCAGTTTTCGCCCTCGCTGTGGAACACTGGACCAGCTCTATACCTTCACTAAGGTGTTGGAGGGTTCATGGGAGTTTGCCCAACCAGTCTGTGTGTGTTTTGTGGATCTGGAGAAGACATTCGACTGTGTCCCTCATTGCATCCTGTGGGAGGCACTTTGGGATTATCGGGTGCAGGGCTCATTGTTATGAGCTGTTCGTTGGTTTTGGTGGCTGCAGAACCTCATCCGTGCTTTTTGCAGATGATGTGGTTCTGTTGGCTTCATCAGTTCAAGACCTACAGCGTGCACTGGAGGAGTTTGCAGCCGAGTGTGAAGTGGCGGGGATGAGAATTAGCACCTCCAAATCCAAGACCATGGTTCTCAATCGTAAAAAGGTGGATTGCTCTCTCCGGTTTGGGGGCAAGTTGCTCCCTCAAGTGGAGAAGTTTAAGTATCTTGGGGTCTTGTTCACGAGTGAGGGAAAAATGGAGCGGCAGGTTAATAGACGGATTGGTGCAGCGTCCGCACTAATGCAGTCTCTGTACCGGTCCATTGTAGTGAAGAAGAAGCTGAGCTGTAAGGCAAAGCTCTCAATTACCAGTCGATCTACGTTCCTACCCTCACCTATGGCCATGAACTTTGGATCATGACTGAAAGAATGAGATCGTGGATACAAGCGGCCAAAATAAGTTTCCTCCGGAGAGTGGCTGGGTGCATAGGGCATAGACATAGGGTGCAGAGCTCAGTCACCCATGAGGAGCTCGGAGTAGAGCTGCTGCTCCTCCACGTTGAGCAGAACCAGTTGAGGTGGCTCGGGCGAAGAAGGATGGATGGATGTTCCACCAATTTAGCATTGTTCCTCTAACATTTTTGAACACATGACATGTACAGTTTTTAAAAAATGAACGAAATCAACTGCTGAAATTTTGGGTTGGAAATTTGAGTGTGTTTTGCTAGTACCAGCTAAAGTATTCTGGAGCTACTAACCTCAAGCAGAGATGATGAGAATTCTACAGAGGTCTATAAAAACATTTCTTTCTAACATCACACCCACAAATATTTTTCCAATGTCAAACTTGTAGTCTTGAGCCCTAACCAACACTGACTCAAATGACATCATTTAAGGCAATATATCAGCTTTTGTACAGCTTCCTCTGGAACCACAAAATGCTTAATATGATTTATACATTTTCTCATATGTAAGTAACACTCCCCAAGACCTGGAAAGGCACATTTCGTTTCTCTTCAGTGTATCAATGTTTTTTACCTGAGGTCAGAGAGGCTCCTCCTGTCCAAAAGGTCATGAGCAATGGTCTCAGCTAAATGCATTACAGGCAGGGTCAGGTGGTCAAGCGAAAGAAAGTGAAGCTCTTTTTCCAGTAGGATGAGATAACACACAGTATAGAGACCGGTTTTCATCAAACTCGATTTGACAGTTCTAAGTGAAAGGTTATCCAATCAGAAGCGTTGTCCCGCCCCCAAGCCCCCTCCCTCTGGTACCACCACCCCAGATCTGGAAGTGCAAGACTGCAGCCAGCACAGCACTGACAGCGGCTCTGAGCAGGTGGACGAGACTAGCCAGCACAGCACTGACACCACCCCTGAGCAGGTGCAGGAGAGAAAAGGGTCTCTTGAGCAGACCGGCGTAACACCGATGGACCTCGACACACCCAGTGAGGAGAGCAGCACCAGTAACACCCAGAGCGTTGAGATTGAGGAAATGGTTCTCTCCCCTCAACATCCCAGCACTGATCTGGAAACGATCCATGAGGAGGAGCCCGAAGGGCAGACTAACAACGAGCTGGACGGGGCTATGCTCAGACTGTTTTCCGACATTGTTAAGTGCCTTGTCACCCGCATCCTACACATTGCAGGGACCACAATGAATATCTGTGTTATGGCTGCAAGATCTCTCACGCTCACGCAAGCCAGAAGCAGCACACGTGCTTATTTGGCATCCCAGACAATTTTTTTAAGCAAGCATTATGACGATCTGGAGAAACGGGCCGTGACAGACCGTTTTCTGGTTGCTGCTTCACAACTGCTTGAGAAATACAACATCTGTGTCTCTGAGGAAAAGATCAAAGACGCTGCAGAATGTGTTTTACTGGGGCTAAGAGATTCTAAGAATTTGGAGAAAACCTCTAGCGACGCGGTCGCTAACTGGGTGGGAGATTCTGTTTTAAAAATAACATATTTGCAAGCGGCTGAGAAGATGTGGGCAGGTGAGGAATGGGACGGGGTTGAGGTATAGAAATAAGAGCGGAATCTGCATGGTGTGTGAAAAGCATTTATTCTTTTAGACTAGTTTTTTCTCAGGGAGTAATAACCAATGTTTATCTACATATTATCATTTTTTCTGTGTGCAAAGCATGTATTCTTTTGCCAAGTTGTTCTCAAGGGTTGAGACAAATAAGTGATGTTTCTCTACATATTATCCTTTTCCTGCATGTAATGTTTTTAATTTCATTATAACTAGTGTTTTAAAACATTTGTTGGGGTTGGGACAAATAACTGATGTATGTCTACATATTATTCTTTTGCTGTGTAAAATGTTTAATATCCTTATAACAAGTGTTGTGTGAAAAAACATTTATCCTTCTGCCAAGGTGTTCTCAGGGGTTAGGACTAATAAGTGATGTTTGTTGTGTGAAATGTTTAATTTCCTTATAACAAGTGTTGTGTGAAAAGCATTTTATTCCTTTTTTTAAAAAACCATGTAACGGAATGCTGTGTGTGTGTTAAATAAAGTTTCATCCTTTTTAAAAAAAAACTCTCATCTTTGAATGAAAATACACACTCTTATATAGTAAGGTGTAAAAAAGAAGAACTAGTCAGAGAATAAGATTATGCTGAAGGTAAAACATGGCTCCTAAACTTGAGACTT